AATTGCAAGTTACTGGAAGAAAAAAGATGAAATTTATCAGGGCTTAATTTAATTTTTTATAAGATTCCGGACAAAATGTCCTACCAAAAATTATTTTGTTCAGACATTGTCCGATCAAATTTTTGAAATAAAATTTAACAAATAATTTTTACAAATATTTTTTATCACATATATTTATCACATATATTCATATTTGTTTAGTTAAAAGGAACACAGGAAAAAGATTTTTTAAATGCCGAGAGTAAAAAAGTACTGCAGATGGGTTTTCTTAGACTAGCTACTGGCGCATATTCATGTGTATGTGTATAGTGTATATCATATAATGATGTTTACTTACCAAATCTTTATCTTAAAGCAACACATAGCAATATTTGTGTTAGACAACAAAATTTGTGTAGTGAAAAGTATTTGTATTTTTGACGAGACTACTTATATTGTGTACTAGTAATTCTTGACAAAACAAAATTTTTTACTTATCCTTATTATTCAAGTGTTTTCTTTTAATAATAACAATGTTATACTAATATTGTTTGTAATAATACATTCCACAGATAATAATTTAAGAAAAATTACTTTGATCATATAAATGACATCATCAAAATTGCTTTCGATGATTGTCATGTAATGTATTTTTTTAAAATTTTCTTTTCATCATTTATTTGCATTTTATTTTCTGAAATACTTTTACTATTTTTTATTGCTCTATATTTTAAAATTTCTCAAATTTAATTTTTTTTTTCGATTATCAAATATAACCAAATGATCAATTGTAATTACACTTAATGCCTATAAATCTTATTTTTTATATAATTTATTACTACATTTAGCATATATTTTATTTCTATAAGAACAATAAATAAGTTTTATCATATTGTTAAATTTATTGATGAAAAAAAAATTCAGTGGCTGTTTTTTATCTAAAATAGATATCAATCAATCATTGTATTTTTTGATAAAAGATCTTTCAGTCGAGGTCATTTACAAATAGTTAAAAACTAACCTTAAGTAAATACCATTCAATAGGATTAATAATACAAATAATGATAAGAATAATACAAATAATGATGATAAATTAAAAGTTATAAAAACAATAAAATAATTGTATGATAATAAACCAATATCAATTTTAATTTTAGGAAAACAGGAAAGTTACAAATAGTTGTGTACTGACAAAACGCAACAACCTACCATGTAACTAAAACAAATACTGCAAAAAAAAGTAACAATAATTAAATAAAAATAATAATCTTAATATCAGTAATCAATATAAAAACAATAAAAGTAAAATAATTACTTCATTAAAAAATAACAATAAATAAACAAAATAAAAATTATTCAATTAAAAGTATAGAGTTTTCATAATAAATTACAATATTAAAATAAAAAAGTAAATCATATCAAGCAAACACATATTGTCACTCCAAAATAGTAAAATTAAAAATTCTTTTTTTTCTTTCTTACAAAATGGAGCAATTTTTATATTTTATTTATCCTTTTTAATTACTTTCCATTTTCGGATGTATTTTTTCTTTTAACTTTGTTTTTTTTTTCTTTCCTTTTTCTTTTCTTGTTTCTTTTTTCTTTTGTTTATTTGTTTGATTTGTTTTTTAACTTTTTTAATTAGATAACAAATGGTATTTGCGGATGGTCCTATAAGACTCACCACATTTTCCATTAAAAAATGTAAAGATTAAATGAATGATTAGATTAATTATGATAAAATTATTTTGTATAACTCTGGTTAGTTGTTTTATGTATATTTTTACAATATATATCTTTTCTAAAGTAAATAATTTTTTTGTTTGTTTTTTATTTTGAAGTATTTTTCTAAAATATTTTTACTATTTAGATTTTTTTAGTTACATATGACTAAACAAGAGAAAAGTTACCTATGGCTAAAGTTTCTTTATATTTTTTTTCAATCAACGACTGTAAGACCTGATAAATTTAGAAGTAAACAAATTTCAGAAAAGTCTTTGTCCTATCACGCGATGATCATGATAATTGCGATGATGGTATGATATACGTGATAATGATGAGCATATGTAATTTAGATGATGATCGTATCATGATGTGGGTTCACTTTCAGTGTTTTATAGAAATGTATATTACCACAAATTTGTATATTTAAGTTCAGAAAAAGACATTTCACTGTTACTGAAAAAAAAAAGATAGTCGTAAATAATAAAAAAAGACACTTGCTCCAGCCTATGCTATTCCTCCTTTAACATTTTAATGTATTGAAAATTTGACTTCTTCAGATCATTTAAAAATAAATAACTTTTTAAAACAAGGCTCTGCTTCTGAAGTTTTAAAAAAGGATGTATGTTTATACTTTTTTCATTTGAATATTCTTTTTTATTTTTGTAACTGAATTCCAAAATGTTCTGAAACAATCTTTTAGTTAGTAAATAGGACGCAAAAAAGCATCAAAGTTTATCAAGTTAAAATGATGGACGTACTTTTTTCGAAAGCAATGATTTAGACAACTGATGGGACGGAGACCCATCCACTTTTATGGTATTGTATTTTTTTGACAAGAAAGTTTTTTTTTTTTTAATGAAGACTTTATTTAAAAGAAAAAGAGTGCTTTATAAGGTGACAATGTCTTTATTTAATTTTAGTGCTTTAATTCTAAAAAATGTGATTGAAAATGATTGAAAAATAATGAAAATAATAAAAAATGTGATTGAAAAATAATGAAAATATTTTTTTTTGCCTATTGAGGTGATATCAACTTAGTTGCATGCTAATCAGTTGCTGGATGAATTAGAGTTCTCATAGCTCCATAAATCAGTATTGCATCATCATTTGCATCTAATACTAAAATTGAAGCACATAGTAAGCATTAGTAAACTGAATTTAACTGTTTCATTATTGTTAATTTTTTGTTATTTTAGTTTTTGGGGTCTTAAGTGATATCCAATGGATGTTTATCTGTGAGATGGTTTCTTGCCGATGTGAGCAAAAAAACACTCCATTGCATTGGTTAATAGCAATCTCGCAATTTACTCTTAAAGTTAATTTTATATAATTTTTTTTTTTTTGATAATAATATGAACTTGTCTTATGTTTAATTATTGTTTTCAATTTATTTTATTAAATACAAAAGGGTTTTTTTAATTTCCCTAACGTTTGTATATGTGTGTATAATGTAAATTTTAATCATACATTTTAGTTTAATTGTTTACTATTTTTCACACAGTTTAACTTTGTGTTATTTAGATGCTGTGAAAATAAAAGCTTTAACTTCAGGAGCATCAGTAGAAGGGTTTGAACATTAACTGAAGAAATATTTTTAGCTTTTCGGGGATCGAAATGGCGGACAAAAAGCTCAAGAGGAACGTTCTTTGTATAAAAAGTTATTTGCATAAATAACAATTTGAACTTTTAATAAAATTTTTTTACTTTTCATTTCATTACTCTTTAACACCCTTTTGGTTGGGAATAAATTTCGAAAAGTACTAATTTCTTTGATTTATGCGGGATAATTCATTTGTACAGAAACGGCTAATAATAACGTGTTAGTGTATTAGTTAGTAAAAAGTTACACTTTAGTACTGACACGGGATCACGAACAAATGTTGGGAAATAATCATGGATCAGTACTGGTAATAAATAATGGGCCAGTGCTGGTAAGCGATCGCGGGCCAGGGCTGGAAAACGATCCCGGGCCCGTGCTGGCAAACAATCGAAGGCCACTGCTGGCAAACGATTACGGGCCAATGCTGGCCCATGTCTAGCGGGTATTGGCGTCAACTTCTAAAACATATTTTAAGGGTAATCAAGTTATTGTCGGCGAGAGGTTTGCTTTTCGTGGAAATGACGATGTTATTGGATCTGTGAACAATGGATATTATTTAGGATGTTTAGAGTTACTTATGTTTAAAGTTCAAAATACACACATTTTTTCCATGCATTTAGGTAAAATATACCATGAAGACCTTGAGCCTCAGTTATCCGATGAAATTGTTCAGTTTATTGCTTTGTTCAAACAGTTTAACAAAGAAACCACGTCAATTTGTAGAAAAAAAAGTAGAGAATTGCAGATGTTCATATTTATTGCTAAACATAGACTCGTGGCTGCCTTCCTAAATGTTTCAATTGCACTACGCATGTATCTTTGTTTAATAGTAAGCAATTGCAGCGAAGAACATTCATTCTCTCAGCTCATTAAAAACGAATTAAGATCAACCATGGGTTAAGACGGTTTAAACGTTCTGTCGCTGTTATGTATAGAAAATAGACTACTTCAACAGCTTGATTTAGATTCTATTATTGAAGATTTTGCTAATAAAAAATCTCGTAAAGTTAACGTCTAAGATTTTAGTATATAAACAAACCTTCAAACTCACAAAAACTGCAATATAATTAAAGAATAATTTGCAATTTATTTCATAGATTTATTAGTTAGTTTATTTTTTTATAATTTTGTTATAACATTAAAAACTATTCTTTACAGTAAATATTTTGAAAATGATGTCAACTGCATTGAATTATAATAATTATAAAAACATTTATATATAACAAAAAAGTATTTTGTAAACAAAAAATGGGCTAATCAGAACGTTACGAAGATATCGTGGGTTAAAACAATACCGAGGGTTAAAACCCATCTTTGTTAGGTTCTATTAGCAATAATTATTTTCTATTTTCTTGAGCAAATAATGATTTGCTTATTAACAACGAAAGTTGTTTCCCAGTGGGAAACGTCTGTGAATTTTCACCTCCCCCCCCCCCCCTCTAAGAAAAAAAAGTTCTACTGGGTAGTGTTTAATTTAATATTTAAATGAAAATTTTTCCATTTCTTTTCTTAAAGGTCATCGATATAAAAGACGTCTTTTCTACGTTTTAATTAAAGACGTCTTTTCTACGTTTTAATTAAAGACAACCGATTGACGTCTTTTTGACCTCTTTTTTAGGGAAGTGGAGGGTATTCAAAAAACTGTAAAGCAAAAAGCAAGAGGGGGGTTATATAAACCATATGAAAAAATGCTATGTTTAGAAATTTTAGATATTTTAATGAACGTAATTGTTTAAATTCTTTAACAAAATCTAATTATATAAAATAATAACTTTATGGAAATTTGATATTTCAAAATATCAAAAGGGTGGAACTGGCTTGGAGTTGGTCCGTCGCCAGCTTCGGCAGGTAATATCTTGACTCCAGCTCCGGCTCAGCTCCTAGTAAAATCACCAGCCTCGAATAGCTCCGGCTCCAGCTCCGCAGCTGGTCCAAAGCCCTGTATATATATATGTAATAATAAAAATGATAAAAAAAATCATCAGGTTTAGTATGATAAAATATATTTGATAAATATATTTATCAATAATAAAGTGATATAAAGTGATATTGTATACCATCATATACCAAGAACCATCATGAAAGTTAGTCGGTATTCAAAAAGTACCGACTAACTTTGTATGTTATACTAGTTAATCAAAAGTTTTTTTTCTTCTTTTTTTCTTCTTTTCTTTGGTTATCTTTTGACATACTACTTTATTCACAATCCAACCCATAGCAATCTGAGTAATGTACACATTTTGGCGGTCTGAACCTATGAGATCGATCTCTTCTAGGGTAACACCATTCCTTTAACATAATAAAAATATTACTAAACTTTGCATAAATAAATAAATTTAACTTTATATATATTTTGTTTTATATAAGTAATTGTATTATATTTTAAAACAATTAAAATATAGTACAATTACTTAAATAAAATATTTTATAGCCTTAAGGTCTTTTCACGGAGCACAGCGACAGAGCATTTAACTAGAAGTTTACGCCTCCTTCCTTACCAATATCACTTATTGGGCTAGAGCCGGCGTCGAACCTCGGACCTCTTGGTTCGGAGCCAGAACTCTAACCACTGAGCCACGGCTGCTGAATAGCCTGAGTAATCATGATTCAATGTCCATATAATGATATCAACTCTTTTATTTACTCTAAATACGTTTTTATAATTACGAAAACTTTAAAAAAATGTTTACTCTGAACATTTAAAAAAGAACAAACTAATTCATTATAGCATACCAGACAAGTAAAATCTTAAAAAAAAATCAAAATAACTTTTGTATATACATAATTATATATCCAAAAAATTATAGAGTATTATTATGAGTAGGGTTGTACCGGATAAGCTATCCGGCCGGATATCTGGGCCGGATAATAACTTTATTCGGTTTTTTATATACCGGATATTTCATTTTCATGTAATTTAGAAAAGCTTTATTTTTAAATAATCTAATGTTAATGAATTCTAATCAATATTGTAATTATTATTATAAAAATGAAACTAAATTTATATATATGAAACATATACATCAATTTATCACTCATTTATATTTCTTTTATCTTAACGTGGAAAGATTTCTCCACGTTGAAGTAGCCTAGATTTATCTCATGAAATAACGAAAACAATCTTCCGAAGAATGCAGGTGATGCGAGTAACTCAAACTCTATTAGCATTGGAAATTTCTCTTTATATCTCCAATAATTGAAAACGTCATTAAATTTTTCAATAATTAAGTGATTAAAAAAAACGTCAACTCCTTGAGCAGCGTTTCCAAAGGTGATTTAATCAGAATTCAATTCATTTTAAACTTCCTCGTGCGGCTGAAGAAGATTCCATATTAATTTTTTTTCCTATTCATACAATATGCAACAAAATTTGCGTGATTATGCAGTGGAATTATGGAAAATGACTTCTGTCCAGATTTATTACATCCCCTGTTTATCTGCTTTCCACATGGAATGCAAATTGCTGTGAAGTCACAGCTATCATTAATTTTGAAAAGCTTTTCAAACAAAACTCGAAATTTTAAAGGCTTATCACGGTAATACTTTTTCATAATAAAATATATAATTTATAATTTTATATAGTTTTTAAAAAATAATTTGCTTTTATATAATTTTTAAAAAATATTTTTATTATAGAAAAATCTATGCTTTTATATAATATCACAAATTTCTTATGACCCTTCCATAAGATCTAAAAATGACTTTAAACGTTTAAAAGACTTTAAAGGAAGTAATTATTCTTCCTTTATGCTCTGTGAGAAGACCGTTAGATTTTTTGGAATACCTAAATAAATGAATATATCAAAAAAAGAAAAAAAATTTAAATATATAAATATATTTTTATATATTTTTTTTACCCTTTCATAATAATCATATACTTGACATTTGCCTCCATTGCAGCGATAGCCTCTCCTGATATCTCCTTTGCCACATTCTGCGATGCTTACAATAAAAATCATGCACATTATAACTATTATTTGTTGACGTATCATCTTACTTCTAAATTTAAAATTAACAACTTTATCGTAAATAATGAGCTTAACAGTAAATAACAACTTTATCTTAAATAATGAGTTAACAATAAATAACAACTTAAAAGACTAAACCTTTATACCTAAACATAAACAAATTTTTTTTTAAATACTTTTATTTCTTTATTTTTGAATTGTTTTTTTATTTATATATTTTTACGCGAAACGTAAACTCATTGATAAAGTTAGGGATAGGAGCTATGTAATATACATACATCAACTGACTTGTGGGGAGAACACCCGAGGAGTAGACTATGTATTGACTGATGGTGTGGGTGGAGTCAGTGTTGGGGTAATGTTACTTGATTAAGGGTTTGGTTTTGGCAGGCAATCTTTTAACTAAAGAAAGAAAAAATAGATTTTAATTATACTCTGATCTTTGAGTTTGTGGCTGTGGGTCTGCTGTGACCCACGCTGTGTGGTACGCTGTGAGTCTGTGGTTACGACTCTGATTTAAAACTTTGAAGGAGAAACTTTGTTACTAATACAGATATTTAACAACAATTATCTACGTTTTTGAAAAATCAGTACCAAACCAAAAGAGCCTAACCAGTCTCAAAACTTAATTTTTCCAAGAAGTTTTTTTTTTTTTTTTTTTTTTTTCGCCGCATCCTTTTTTCACGAGCTGACGAATTTTTACAAGCGTAATAATTAAAAGAAATTAAATCGTAGTATTTTAAAGTTTCATTATTTATATATCTTTAATATTAGGAAAAAAAGAACACAAGTATGGAATACAATATTAAATAATGAGCTGAAATCTAATTATTCTTTAAACCAGTTTAAAACAAAACTTAAGCAATTACTGATGATACATGAAAATGAATTAAAGTTCTTCTAAAAAGCTTTTTAAACTAGCAAACAAAAAGAAAAATTAACCTACTAATTACTCTTTAATATTATATTTAATATTCTAAACAATAGTCTGCTATTGTAAATGTATTTCTTATCTTATAAGTTTTGAATTTACAAACGATTTTTTAAGTTTTATTATTTGAAATACTAATTACTAAAAATATTGTAAAATTTTATAATTTCAATTTTTATTAAAAAAAGTTATTGTAAATTCTTTTTGTAATATTAATACTTATATATCATCTTATTTTACTAATCAGTTCTTAAATATAAATACTCTTTGAATTACTAAATATTTTAAACGTTATATATTTTATTTTTTACATTTTGTTAAAATATTTTATTTGATGAATATGCATTTTTTGGGGGGGCTTAATGATAAGATGAATTTTGTCTTCTTCAAGCCCCAGTCATGTAAATATTTGTTTTTATAAATTACGAGTGTAAATTATTTTCAATCGGCAAATACAATACTAAAAAAAAAAAAAAAAAAAAAAAAAAAAAAAAAAGTAATACTTCATGGACAAATTATCAAACGATGAACAAATTACTTAATAAAATAATTTTATTCAGGATATATTCGATAGAGCTTGTTCAGTATATATTCAACGAAATGTTTATAAAATAACAAAATGATATTTTAAAACGAATAAACGGAAAATCTGAAATTAATAAACGACAGAATTGATGATCTACTAAAAGAAACAATTACTGTAAAAGAATTGTGTGCGATGATTTTATAATTTTAGAGAATCATTCAGATCCAGATGTTAATTTTTTTAGTACTGATCAAATAATTAGCAACATATGCCCTTCTTATTATTATTCTGATATTTCTAGTTTTGCTGCTGATATTAATGCATTCTCTAATTTACACATAAATATTAGGAGCTTTAAAAAAAAAATTTGATAAATTAAAAGATTTTTTTATTTAGTGTTGGAATTAATTTTAAAATTGTTTGTCTCACAGAGACCTAGTGTCGAGATAAACAGAAGCGGGTTTTGTCACTTCGAAAAAAAGTTCTAATTGGCAGGGGAGGTACCCGATGCAATGCTATCCTATACCGTCCTCGCCATAGATAAACAAGTTGAAAAAGATTCAAGTTTTCAACTACAAAACTATAAAGTTATTCATCAAGTCAGAAATTCAGAGACCATAGGTGGAGGAGTATGTATTTTTATCAACAACTCTTAATTTTAAACCGCTAACCAAATTTAGTGTAATTAGTAATGACTAAGTATCACTAACGATCGAAGTTATAAATAAAATCACTAAAAACGTCATTGTTTAATGAACAATGACAGATGGCGGTTTTACACAACATAAACAATGTTCATGTTGTGTACAGACCGCCATCTGGCAATAATAATTTTTTTGAAGAAGACTTTAAAATTTAAAAAAAAAAGCAAAATTTTATGTCGCTGATGTGTCTATTTTGTTAGGGATTTTAATTATAATGTACTTGAAAAAAAAAAATTTATAAACATCATATTTTAATATTGATTCATTCCAACAATAAATAAACCAACACAAGTTATTAGGAATAGCGCAACCTCAATTGATCGAATAATAATTAATGAATATACAAAAAACAAAATCCGATATATTGGATTATTTCCCAATCATTTATAATCACAAAAAAGGTTGTCGAAAACACCCCTCAAAAAAAAAAAAAGAAATTACAAATCGAATATATAATGGCATTCCTATGAAATTTTTTAAAAGTTCTCTATTTTCTGAAAACTAAGACGAAATTTTACAAATTCAAACCGCAGATATTGCTTATAACAGTTTTCTTCGGATATTTTAAAAACGCTTTGATAAAGTCCCAGTAAGCACAGATCGTTTTTAAAACGTTTAAAAAACGTTAATATTCATTTTTATAAGTTTTTTAAACGTTTTAAAAACGTCCTGTGCTTACTGGGGTTTTCCCGGTGTTAACAAAATTTATTAAAACTAAAACATTTATAAACCCCTGGATTACACCAGGAATAATAAATCATCAAAATAAGAAAAAAAGAAAACGATTGTATGAAGTATTTCTGAAAAAAAGAACATATGAAAATGAATTAAGGTTTAAAAATATGAAGGTCACTTTGAATCAATTATAAAACTTTCAAAGAAGTTACACTATTCAAATAAAATAATAAAATTCAAAGGCGGTACTCAAAAAACGTGGTAAGTATTTAAGGAAAAAATTGGAAAAAAAACATTTGAGCTAAATAGTCTTCCAAAAAAAACTAAATTATCAGCATCAAGATATTACAAAAGAATCTATAGCTGCTAAAACATTTAATGAGGTGTTTGTCAATGCAGGTTTAAATTTAGCATCAAACTTAAAACACAGTGAGTTTAACAATGAGAAATACTTGACTCCTAGCAAATCAATAATGGAAAATGCTGAGTTAACTGAAAATGAGTTATTAGATGTTGTACGTTCATTAAAAATATGTTTGGTAAGAATCCAATGCAACTTCCTCACTCAATATTTCATCACTTAAAGTCTTAGGAATAATATTTGATGAACATTTTTATTTGAAATATCATATGAAAATAAAATGTTTAATAGATTTATATTACTTTTTTATCCATAGCAACATAAGCTATTGTAATGTTGCTTTAGCAAGTAATTGCCCTTCAGCATTGAAAAATATACATATTAAACAAAAACAAGCCAGTAGATATATATGTAATGTGCATAAATGCGCCAACTCCAAGCCGTTACTCCGGGAAATTAAAGATCTTAATGTCTATGAGTTAAACGTGTTCCAAAACTTGTTTTTATTTTTTATTTTTTTATTATTTTTGTTATTTAGGTGCCCCAAGTATAAACACATTTACTCAATGCATGAACATGTTAAAATTTTCGAACTTTCTTTGGAAAAGAACAGCTTTATTTACATAAAATATTTAGGTGATGGAGATTCTTCGTCTTATAAAGAAGTCATAGCAGCAAATCCCTATAAAGATTTTGGTATAACACCTCTCAAATTGCATTGTATTGGGCACGTTCAGAAGCGCTTAGGTACTCGTCTTAGAAATTTTGTGAAATCACGTAAAGGTACAAAGAATCCCATATTAAGAAAGGGGAAGTTGACTAAAAAAACAATCGACTCAATGCAAATTTGTTATGGAAAAACTATAAGAAACAACTTAAACAATGTCTATGCCGTAAAAAAAACAATCGGCTCAGTGTTGTTTCACTGTACTGCGTTTACCGATGAGAAACACTTCTTGGAGCAAATGGCAGTTAGATAAGACAATCAAGACAAAAACATTCTAAAACACTATAAGTTTACCAATGTCCATTCATTACCTTTTAAAATCAATCTTTGTAAGTTTATTAGATGACGAGTTATTGGACAAATGCGTTCACGGGCAAACTCAAAACACTTATGAATCGTTCAACTCAGTTGTATGGACTCAATGTCCCAAAAATGTTTATATTGAACGAAGAACATTTAAATGTTCAATTAACTCAGCTTTTTTACATTATAATGATGGAAGTTACGGGGTGAGTGAGTGCTACTAGAATGGAAAAGCGATCGAGTCCAATCTTTAAAAAACAAAGAAAAAAATTAAGAGCAGTCAAAAAAGGTACATGGATAAAGAGAATGAAAGTAAAAAGTGTGAAGTTTACGCTGTTGGTGGTTTTTATCATGTTTTTCTTATTATTTTAGACAAAAACTTGATTTTCTCACGTTTATGGTTTTACATAATTTTTAAAATTTAAAAAAATGATATCTCAAGAATGAATGGATGAAATAAGTTGAAGTTTTCAGGAAATGCTCATATATTATATACAATCTATACATCATAGGCTTTTTCTTTATTGAGGTAAATAACTTCTTAAATTGTAAAATTTATACAAATAATACTATGTTTTAAACACTCTTTTTACTAAAAGAGGCAAAACTTTTGACTAAATGAGTCAATCAAAAAATTGATTTGTCAAATGGATTTTACTATCATTCTGAAGCTATGTTGAAAATTTGAAGTAGAAACCAAGGGTTGTCGACTCTTTAATATTTACATAGTTAAGAGTGTAATCGTATGCGCAAGGCATTCTGGGATGTCCTGGTAGTATAAGAATTAAGTTTACAACAACAAACTTGGCTGAAACTCTGCAAAGTTTTCTATTTTATATCGCGTTATTCTTTAATAAATAATACTCTTTGTTGTTCAGAAATGCCTTCAAACTGTGCTGCAACGAACTGCGCAAATACGAGTGGAAATTTTGCATCAATTATTTTGAAAGTTCAATTTTTATTTAACAAACACTGAGGGAAAATGCCTTCTCCATAATACCATTTCTACAGTATTTATGTTTTAAATATAGTCTCATGGCATCACATTCAGACGATGTATAGAATAGAAAGACGTAAATGCAGTTCTATCTGTCATGCAATTCATGAAATTCTTGGAGCATTGTGTGAATTAGTTATAATTGTCAACTGTTATACTGACTTCTTATTGACCAACCAATTTGTTAATAAAAATAATACTCATTTTAATTTAATAAATTCAAAGAAGTTTCATGCTGATAAACCTGCTATATGTGATGTAACAACAAAGCAAAATAACATGTTACAAAGTAAAATAACATGTTACTGTTGAGGGTATTTCAACTTCGGATTAAGAAATGAATGTTTTGTATTTTAAAACCTCTACCTCATTAGAGAATAAATGTTACAATAACTAGTATGTTAAAATGGTGTCAGGAGCTTTAAAAAAAAATTATTTAGAAAGTTTGATTAGAACTATTCAGAGCAAAGAAGGTTGAAATGAAAGACTTTCGAACAATTTGGATTAGCTTACCTGAATGTTTCGTTGTTGTTGTCATTATAAACTAGGAGCTTTAAAAACAATTGTCTTAAAGAAATAGATTTTAGCGTTGTACTGCATATAAATGCTTTATTTAAACATTTACACTTAAAAAAACTAAATAAACAAGATTGCCTATTTTTTGCTGACAAAAAAAAAAATCAATTTTTATAAATAAAACTATTGTTCAATGCATGCAGATTTATCTAGCTTGTTAAAAAAGGGGTCTGACTGTGTCAACAGTGTGTGGTAATACTTTTTGGTGAAGCGATGAATATTAGGCATGGTTTAGAGACCAATATGAAAACAAACAACCAAAATTGTTCACCAAAATCTTTATTTATATCATTGATTTGTTATATTCTATTTAACATTGTTTATGGAATTTATTGAAAAGTGGCTTCATGCTAAAAACCTGGCTTTTAGATTTTATTTAAAATCATGGAATTCTGTACTTTTAACGTTTTATTTAAAGATTGCTTTTAATATACTTTTTACTAATAAAAAAAAAAGTTTGTATATTTATCAGAACAAAAATTTTGTCTATTATTCGGCTGTACAAGATCTATGTAAAGGAAATTAAAAAAACTTCAATATTGATATATATTAAATAATGCCTTTATGTTTTTCTTTTAAAAATCTGTTTTGATTTTATGAGTTAATGTGTGTGTATATACACACATACATACATACATACATACATACATACATACATACATACATACATACATACATACATACATACATACATACATACATTCATACATCATGTAGTTATTTATAAATGTATGTAAATACATACATACATTTATGTATTATATATTTTATAAATATATATATATATATATATATATATATATATACATGCATACATATGTATGTGTGTGTGTTTAAACTTTAAACTTGAAAATGATAACTTGCTATGTAAATATTACATGGTAAATAATTTTATCAAGTTTCATTAGACGATTTTCAAATTGTTTTATTATTATGACCCGATAAGCTTTATTAAGACATGATATATTTAATACTACACTGTGATATTGCTGCTCTTTTGAAAAATGAGAAACCTATAATTCTAATATGGAATTTTTATGAGAAAGTTATATGAGAAACCTATAATTCTAATATGGAATTTTTAAAAATGTCTAAATAGTATAAAAAAATAAGATTAATTCTATGAATAGTTTACAAAATGAATTAAGAGCAATCAAACGTATTTATTTGTTTTTAAATGTTATACTACCAGGGTATCCCACAATCCTCTGTAAACAAATTACAAGTTTTTACGCGAGTCGACAGCCCTAGGTAGAAACTATCTTCATGCCTGCAGATATTGTGTTTTGTAATATTGTATTTTTTGTCTCATTTTAATAAATAGGGTAATCGAAAAAAAATAGTTTGGTGTGTTTAAAATATTTTTCAAGTTGACACCAGCCATATATACCAAAATTTGGTTAATTAAATTCACAGGGTCAAAAAAAAGTTTATTTCTTGGGCAACCCCCTTAATAAAAATATGAAAAGTATAACTTCTGTAAATTGTTTTAAAAGTATAGTTAAACAGTATTTACTTGAATTGACATAAACATATTGTACTTTTAAGTAAAAAAAAAAATTGTAATATTTCTTACTGTATCTATTCATTTAATTTTTTACAATTTATTGTATTTTTAGAAACTTTTAGAAAAATTTGAAAACACTTTCGGTATTTTGTTAATTTTTAAATTATAACTTTAAGTAGCAACTATGGTAATTTGTTTTCAAAAGATTCTAAAACTATTTTAACCTCTTATTTGCTAAGCATATTGATATTTATTGCCGTAAAAGCCTTTGTTTAAAACTAAGCATAATTTGCACCCACAGTTACTAGAAACTTTAAAATTATGTATAATAAGACTTGATTGAATATTTACACTATTTTAGAATTTTTTTTTAATTTAAATATGTTAATGATTAATGAAATACAAAAAGTGAAGAAGTTTTCTTTTTTAAATTCGCTAAATTTGAACTATTTAAACTATAGTTAACAATAAAGATAAAAAGCTCGAATAAGTTCGAGGTCATAAATTCCGCCACTATGTTTAAATAAATGCTTTTAAGATTTGTGTCTCACTCGCGACAACCTTGCTAGAACACTTTTGACTTTATAAATAAATAAACTTAAAAATTATATTATACTTTAATGCAAACGTTTAAAATATGTATATATATATAAATATATATATATATATATATATATATATATATATATATATATATATATATATATATATATATATATATAATATATAAAGATACGCACTATGTATAAAAAATAGCAGCTAAACAGAAAGTGTCATTTGTACATGGTTAACCTGTTTATTCATGCTAGATTTTAAACATTCTTCAAACATGCTTTCTTTAAGTTTTAGCTCAAATTTGTTAAATGCCGAATTTAACACAGAAAAACACTTATCATTTATTTGCATGAAACAACTTTTATTAGCATGGAGATATGGAGATGTTTATAGATACGATAATTTTTATCCCTTTTGTAATGTTCAGATATCCAGGTCTTGAGATGGTGAGTAGTTTTGCCGACATAACAGGAGTTACACCCTGCACATACAAATTTTTACACCACGAACGATTTGAACAATAGAGGAATAGGATCTTTAAAATAAAAGGTGGTTAAAATTTTTTAGTGAGGTAAATACTAATTTAATATTTGCTGGACGGCAATATCTTTTAGCAATTGAATTAAGTATTTTTTTTAGTTGAATCGGATATTTTTCTCAAAAACGGCAGTTTAAAATAAGACAAATTTTCTTTGATTTTTGGTTGCGGTGGAGGATTTGAATTAACCTTGTTTAAGTAGGAGTTATATATTTTTGAAATGAGCCAAGATAGGCACATGTTTCTTTAAAATACTTTAAAGAGTTCATTTATGTAAGAGTGAAACCCAAATTTAGTACTATTAATTTTAAACGTTGTATCGATTAAGCATTTGATTAGATTATCTCTGTACGAAAATGGTGTGAAACTATAAAAATTAGTGTGAAGACCAGAATAGGTTTTTTTTTATGAAAAGCGTTAGTGATAACTGAAGAATTAATTTTGTGTAGAGTTACGTCTAAAAAAGATATTTTTGAATTTACTTTTTGCTCCATAGTAAAAGAAATAGAATTGTGCCTACTATTTATATATCTAAGAAAAATATGTGCGTCATTTTCTGACTGGAAAGCAGCACAAATGTCATCCACGTATCTTTCGAAGAAAACTGGTTTTACATCATTGAAATTTTTTTGATCCATTTATTTTCTAAATGACCCATGAAAATAAAAGGCAATCGATAGCCACGCTGTACAAAAATTGTTTTCATAAAAAACATGAGGTAGGCAAATTCTGCTAACCTTATAACACAGAAACTAAAGTTTGCAACCAAGAAACTAAAGTTTGCAAAGTTTGCTAAATAAAAATTAATGATGCTTTTTAAAAAATACTCATCAAAGCAAAAATAACTTACATTCAGTATATGCTTTCCTAAGATATTAAAATACAAGTTTAACCAAGTATTAAACTCGATAAAGATTAGACAGTCAACTAAATATAGGTTATACACTTAACGCTTCGAGATCAAAGTATTTAAATGATCTAAACTAATTTTAATTTTTAATGAGTTTTCATATTAACATCATTAGTCATATCGAAACTCATTTAAAAAATAAAATAAAAAACAAAACTTAACATTTAAACTAAACAAAACTTTAACATTAACTTGCATTCGAAAGATATTGCGAATTCGCAATGAGTTTCGCATTCAAGTTAAACGAGTTATAATACAGAAGTTACTCTTAAAGAGTTTCGATGCAAAAAAATGATATATTTAAAGTGAAAGTTTACAAATATTTTGTAATTGCAAATTTTTACCGTAATTACAAGACGGGATGTAAAATCTGTTGCCTGCCTTAATATTAACTCCTATTTTGCCTACATCTAAAATTAAAATGAATAATTCCATCAGTTGTTATAGTCGAGGCCGGGGCTAGTTGCAACACAATTTGTTAAACTAATTTTTTTCATATGAGTTATATTTATTCATATTATATTTCCCATAAATTATATAAAACGTTTGAATAAAAAAACTAAAATATAACTTTAAGTATAACTTTAATTTATTTAGTCTGTAATTTTTATTGATATAAATTTTATATTTATAAAAAATTGGAAAATGGAAAAAAAATGAAATAAAAACATAAAAGAAGATACATAAAATATCAGAATTATTTTCGTTGATCTGCAATACTTCTATTATCCGAGGTTTTTTATATACCTAGCATGTTTAGTAAATTGTTCATTTAATTAGTTTATAAATACAATTTCAGACCATAGAGATTACAGGTTTCGATGGGTACACAAAAGCATTTTCTTCTTATTTTCTTAACAAAAAATATTTAAAAAATAAATAAATACTAAAGAGTCAATTATTAAAGAATTGTATTGAGGTTCTGGGCAATAAGAACCGAAAGATGCAGCAAAATTTTTATAAGAAAATGTATCTATATTATATGTAAATATTCCCACCATTACAAAACCGGAAGTTATGTTCTGCTGTGAGAATGTTGTAAAGCTGTTTTCGCACTTCCTGGCAAATCATATATACTCGCTGTTTTTGCCGGGATACTCTTTATCCATAAGTCTTGTGCATTAGTTAGACATTTTTCAAAATTGTAAATACAGATTCCTCTAGAGGTTGCAATTTATAAGTGCAAAGAGAAGTAAATCGTAACACTAGGTTATTAATTGAATAGATAAATACGAGTGATCATTGTATAAAAGAAATAACACAGAGTTTTCTTTGGGCTTTCTCTTTACACTAAGTTATTAATTGAATAGATATTCTCGAGTGATGATTGTATAAAAGAAATAACACAGAGCTTTCTCTTGTTGGCTTTCCACGCGATATATATTAGTAAAGAAACACACAAAGGGAAAATGAATTTCTTATTTGGAGTATTGCAATATGCATTTACATTTGCACAGTATTGCAATATGTATTTACAGCTTAATACCAATACGAGCATTTAACTTGTTTAACTTTTGCAAAATGGTGATACATGTCTCATCAACATTGTTAATCTTAGATGAAAAAATAATTTCTAATAATAAAATCTGACAGTTTTTGAAAAAATACCAGCATTAGTACATAAAGTACGTTTGCAGGTGTGTGGAGAGACTATTGCCCAAAGACGTATAAATTTGTACAAGGTTTAGAGCGAGTGCGTACGCGGTTTCTTTTTCGTAAATATTTTTTTAAAACTTGGTTATACTTTTTTAACGAAAGGCAATCCAATTTCCTGTTGAGTTTTTTTAAACATTTTTTTAAAATGCCCGTCTTTTTACTAAACACAGAAAAAAGTTGATTAAAAATATTTTATTCTAGATTTTTGTTTATTGCATAGATATTTAAATATTTATCGAGCTAAATGGTAATCAAAATACCATTATTAATGAAGAATGCGTTAAGGTCTTTTGGCACCTACACTTATATTATATAATGTTGTGGGTGAATTGCTGAGCAGCAAAACTCATTCATTCACAATAAAAATGGTATTTTATCACATATTTGAGGATTGTAAAAATCACACAGCTATGTATAAGGGCGTTGGGGGTCCAAAATCAGTGGTTTTACTGCATACATAGTTTATGGATGGTCCTTTAGCACGCAGGATTTCGGAAATTTAATAGAACACTTTACTGCACATTCACAAAAAAAACTGATATACATAAAGCAATAACTATTATTTGTTCCAAAAGTAAAAGCTTTTTATTATCAGGTTTTGGCATTATCAACAGCAATATTTTACTTTATTTAAATGACGAGAAAAAGTTTAGTAGGGAATTTTTAAAAACCTTCGAAATCTTTTCGCGGAGTGAATTTTCTTTTTTGCACCAATCAAATAGTTATAAAACCATTTAAAACTTACCTTTTTTAAAAAGTGTTAAAAAACGATTTTTTTCATGCATAAAATTAAAAGTAATATTAATTTTATAAAATGATTACTATTTTTGACATTTTAACATGTCGCATAAATTTCGCTTTTTTTGAGTACCAGGTTGGCATACAAAAATAAGAATTTTTTTTCATCTTCACTAGCGTTTGGACATGACACTCGTTTATGTGCAGCGACGCGAATTTTTGCCCATTGAACTGTCTTTTGGGAGGCAATGCAAGTTTCAGTTCTCTTTACTGTATCGAGATTTTGCAAATATCTATTTTTTGTAAAATTTTCCATTGTCTTTCTGTTTGCTGAAAAACTTCTACTTAAACTATAAACTTCTGAATTTTTTACTGCTTCATTTTTTGGTTTGAAAACACATTAATTTTAAATTTCATTAAAACTAGTATTAAAACTCGTTTTTTTGTCTGTGTGTCTGTCCAGTCAAAACAATTTAACGATTTTTAATGATTTGAAAGCGGAAAAAAGTTATGCGCATAAGTATGCGCATAATTATGCGTCTGTATCTGCACAATTTATCGGCGAATATCTGTGCATTCAAATTTTTCCGAACCCGATATTGAAATGTTTCACCGGATGATGACGTCTAAACTAATTGATTAACTTCATAAAGCGCGTAAAAATGATTTTTTTTTTTAAAACATAATTAACCATTAATGAGTAATAAATTACTGCGTTATGGAATTAGGGAACCATTGAACTGGGTAACTATCGATTAGATTTTCTAAATATGTTAATTGCCTTTGTTTTGCAAAAAAAAAATTTCTACATTTTCAGATTACTCATCACCTATCAGACCGTACCAGTAAATTTTGTAGAGAGTCATTTTTGAAAAATGAGGCAGTTAAGAATACCAAATAAATATTATGCTTGATTTATGTAACAAACAACATTGTAACGAAATCTAAAAGTCCAGTTTCTTAATGAAACACATACAGCCATAAAAGCCTCTGGTAAAAAGACAAAGTTATATTAAAGTTAGGGATCGTCCATAAAGTTCGTAGGCTCGGAGGGGTAAAGGGGTCTACAAATGGCGTATATGAGGTGGGAAGGCAGTGGGTCAATTATAAAAGAAAGGAGACACTAAATTTAAAAAATGTCATAAAATGTTAGATAAATAGGTTAAAAGCGTACATATTTTTAGGGAGGTGGAGGGAAGTAAAGCGTATTGCAAAGCGCGGGGGAGGGGAGAAAAAGGGGGATGAAAAAAAAGCATACGTACTTTTTTGACAACCCATAAATGTTAGTTGAGTAAGTATCGAAACAATTGGATTGGTGGCTAATGTAAAAACAAATAATTAAGTGGAAGAAATAGTAGTAATTGATCATGTCTATCAGTAAAAGAAGTACAGATCTGATAAAACTTTTATCGAGCTATATAAAGTTTGTAACGAGGACAAGTGATATTCAGTAAATAAAATAAAAATAGAATCAATCAATTATATATTAGTTGTACCCTATTCCAAGGTCACATGACTCGGAGACTGGACTATTAAAACATTTCTAAGTTTTGACATTACAATAACTTTTTTCATTACAATAAAAATAAGTTATAAAAATTAATTACAATACAATACTTATTTTTATTGTAATGAGTCATTTCAGTTACTTTTTTTCAGATATTGTATTATAAAGATGAATTGCAATACAATATTCATTGTTATTGTATTACAGTATTACAATAATTGAACACGTCATTTCAAAAAGAGCACAATTCCATTTATTTAAGATTTTCAGGATCAACAAAAATAAGTTATTTTGAAAAAAGTATTTGGTGCTAAAGAAACTAAACATAAAAGTAGATAAAAAAAATAAATAAGTTTTTAGAGTTTTTTTTATTATAAAAAAACGACATATACAACACATATATATTTAATATATATTTAAACATATATTTAATTTAATTTTATGGACTTATGTCTTTTTCGAAATTAACACTTTTTTGTATATAAAAAGTTGTACCCATCCTTTGTAATATTTTGACACTTTTAAAATACAAAAAGTTAGTTTTTGGTCCTTGGGTATTTCTTTTCCATAGGAATCCACAGGTAATATAAGTTTCTTATAATAGTTTGGCCATCATTTTTTTACATTAATAATATCTTCAGTTTTGGACCTTCTTATTTCAAATAGTTCGTTTGCTTCAGCTATAAGATTTTCATATTCTGTTGGTGTGTAAATCAGGTCATTTTTTTGAATATGTTGCTTTGCTGTTTCAAACATTCAATCTTTTGGAAAGAATGAGTGGCCTCATTTTGGCATATAATATTGTATCTCATTTGTATTGCTATCTTGTTCAGCTACCAGTTATAAAAGTATTCGGACCATGGCATAGTTTCTATTTTGGACTGCACAACTATTAAAAAATAGGTGCAGTTCTTTGGCATTGTTGCCAATACTTTTTTAAATTTAATCCAGCTTATAGGTACATACTTCGTTGGAACCTTTGTTTGCAACTCCTTCACAATATGAATAAAATACTGATTTACAATCAGTATTTTATTCTTATTTATTTTTTTATTTCCAATTTTAAAATCATATATGCAAAACTCATACAGCTATAGTTGATGTAGATAAAATATTTCCTGGAAAGGGGTAAGTGGAAGTGGGAAATTTTGCATAAAATCAAATGCAATCTTATACACATTTAGATCATTTTTGCACTTAATTTCAACTTCTTGTATTTTTTTGTAAAATTTGTTTACTTGTCTTTTGTGGATCTCAATATCTGCTTGATAGACTTTTTTTGCATTGTCATTAAGGTGTTGGTTTTTTAGTTTAGTCTTTAACTCTTCGCACATGCCACACACACACATTAGTAAAAGAGTTAGATAAATAAACTGGCATTAAAAAATGAAATTCAAAAAAAATGTGACTTTTCGAAATGACGGGTTCAATTGTAAGTCATAAGTATTGTTATTGTTTCTAAAAAAGTTAATACAATAACAATAGTTGTTGTTTCTGTTATTGATTTCATTACAATTGCAACAGTCAGAATTCTAATATTAGTCATTGCAATATGGAGTGGGCAAGTAATATTTTAAAAATTTATAGCAAACAAAAGCAGGTGATTTGGTTCATTTTAAACGCAGATAAGCGTGCTTCAAGCCGTAATTTAAAAAAATTAATACTTTAGGCGTTTTTTAACCGAATATCTATAAAAGTTTAATATTTGTGTTTAAACTTCATAACAACATGCTTTCAATGCTTAAAAGACCGATAACTGCTTCTGTAACTTACAGTTTAAGCATTAGGGTGTAAAAAAAAACAACAAAAAACTACCAGTTTTCCCCATTCTCAAGTTTTTCTCATTCTCTAAGGTCCAAATAGACTAAAAATACCAAAAATACGTTTTTTATTTGTATAAAAGGGATACCTTTAAAAAAATTTTTTTTAAAAAAAAGTGCATTTTAAGGGAAAGAATATCGGATTTTATAAACTTTTTTAATAATATATACTTTCAGTTAAAAAAATTAAATTGAAGTATGCTTTGTAGACCTAACAAATTTTACAACATGCTTCCTAGGAATACTTCTTCGATCTTATCTTTATAAATAGTCCACACTTATGGTAAAATGTATCTGATAAATTAAAACCTTCTGCAGTTGGTAAACTTGATGAACAGATGGAAAGTGTGCAAAGATAGAATAGTCTGCGAAAACATGTTAGTTTGTTTGAAACGTAATTTATTCAACAGGTATAACTGTAATACCCCAAGCTCTTATTAGTGTCATTTTCATAAAACCCTTACCTTGAATTTTCTCAAATCTATTTCTGTTTAAAAAAAGCGACGAAAATTATTTGCTATTGTTGGGCCGACAAAGCATTTTTGGTTCAGTTATTTTGTCGACGTTGTGTTAGCATATCATTGGCTGCTCATTGTTTCTATGTTCTTTACTGCGGTTAGTTAAGCTGAAAATCCCCTACAGTTGGGCTAACTAATACAAAATACAATTGACTTAACTGTAATAATCATACAATTGCGCCAAAAAACGCAAAGTGTTGTTCGACCAACTGGAAATCTAATGCAGTTTCACTGACTTTCACTGCAGCTGGCCCAACAATACTGGCTGCCTGGGTAATGATGAGTGCTACTAAAACAGTTTGGCGGCCATATTGGGAGGTCCAATGATTATATTAAAAATAAGCTATTTTATGGATAGTTAGTGCTATCTCCAAGTTACTCCACTGTTTAGAATATCTCTCACTATTATCGGTATTTTAACTTGGGATTTCCTTGTAAAAAATTTTCGAATCACGTGGAGTATTTATTATATGGTGTTGTTTTTAAACGCAAAGAAAAAATACTTTTCAAGGAAAACCCAAGTTATAAAAAAAATTTAACTTGACTTAGTAAATTTGTTTACTTGTAAATTTTAAAAATGACGTATTAAAAATTTGTCTCAATTACATTTAATAAATTCATTAAAACAAAAGACAAGACAAAAGAAACCGAGACTATCAATATGTGACATATTGATCAAATGTCACATATTGATCGAATGTAAATGCTACAATCACATGTTGATCAAATGTAAATGCTAAAATTATATACTATATGAATTAGTATTACTAAGTGATGATTCAGTCACTCATACCAGAAGATGTTAACTCAAAAAAGTCACTCACACGAGAAGATGTTAACTTTATAAAGTCGTATTCTAACAACGTCATGTCAATGATTTCTTTTCTTGATGAAAGAGGCTTGGGTATTTTACATTGGACTGATGACATAGGGAGAACCATTCTGCATCATATTGTTGACAACAGTGGAAATGCAGCTTGTGTTAAGCTATTGCTAGAAAAAAACGGTATTTAGATAAAACCAGAGTTATATGATTTTAAAGTAAGAATGGTAGTGTATATTTAGAAATAAAGTAAAAACGAGTATTAAACTTTATTATAAACTTTATAGGTACTTTTTAGTAATATACTCTACTGTCATTTGTACTTTAATGGAATTTATATTTAACAATATCGTTTTATTTGAATTATGTAACATTTATTATATTACATAATTCAAGCATATTCAATTTACAATATAGAAGAGTGTTTAAAGTTTTGATAATAAGACATTAAAAAAAAAAAATTTAGATACATGTAGTTTTAGACAATGTAAATAAGCAAATGTCTTAGGATTTATTGTTCAAACTGAGTACACAGCTAGTGCAAGAAGTCTTATAGAGCCAAACAATTTTTTTTTATTTAAAAAGGTAGCATTTATTATGTTACCTCATTTAGTTTAATATTATTTTAATATTTAATGCTTTGATGATATTGCAAAGTTAGAGATTGTTTAAAGTGTTAATTATAAATTAGTTTCTGAAAATAATGCAGATTTGAAAGATTTGTGTCATGTATATTACTCAGTCAGAGTATTCAGCTAGTATGAGACTTTTGATTTTAAAAACATTATTTAAAATAATCTTCTAGATTAAAGAAAAGTCATATAAAATTGTGTTATCTATAAAATAGTAAGTATTTTTAAGTTAACTAAAACAATTTTAAGGTACATTATACTAAAATAACTCTTTTCAATCTTAAAAAAACTATTAATATTGCACAACGCTCAAACATCAAAAACAACTGATCACCAAAACCTTAAAAGATGTTTATTTCATTTTTTTTTCAAGAGCAAAAAAAACATTAAGTTTCTATATCGTTATAACTAGAACAAAATATTTTGTTATTTTTAATGCTAAATTTTTTTTACAGCTAACCCAAATGCAGTTTCAGGAATTGATGACAAGTGCTCAGTGAGTGTATAAATGTTTTTCTGATTATTTTTGTTTGAATCAACACTTGTTTATATAATTATACCATCTGTATAATTTAAATAAAACATAAAGTACAAAAATTAGACATAAATCACTTTGATTTTTTTTAAATATATTTAGACACCTCTTCACTATGCTGCTAAAACTAATAATCTTGCTTGTATGATCACTTTGCTGGAATATGGGGCTAAAATAGACATAAAAAATAGTATGGGAAAGCGTGCTATTGATGTTGCTACAGATTATGGATCAACAGATTGTATAAATCGTCTTCATGCTATTTATGGTATGTGTATACTGTTTGTGCATTATTTTTTTTTTTTTTGTTTTTTGTTAATTCACCTCCCCAAGGCTGAGAAGGCCACTACAGACAAGAAGGCTACTTAATTGTGGTTATAACCCTCTCTCAACTCTATAACTCCAAAACACAAACCTTGACGAACAAGACTGCATAATTTAAAATAATTTATTTTACATTTTACTGTAATTAACTTAGCTAAAAACAATTTAAATTCAATTCATTATTTTAAATAGTTTTTTTACATTAATGTGATTCTATAAACACACTAAATGTTTAATACAACTGGCATGTTAATAGACATGAATTTTATTATTATATATTTATATTTTAATACTAGGCATTTTTCGACAGCTCAAAACTATGTGTTTAGCTTATGCTCAATCTTTTTATAAAAATAGTTGAAATAAAATTAAATTATGGTTTCATTTTTTCTTGTTTAAAAACATTTCATTAGTACTGCTTTGTTTATCATTGTCAAAGCTGTTAAATATTTTTCATCTCATTAAAAAATTAAATCCAAAGGAAAACTTACCATTTTAATTATATGGGGTAGTGGTGTAGTTGTAGAGTGGTTGCTTTATAAGCAAAAGGTTCCAATTTCAATCCCTACCATGTCCCTGGTAGAGCTGCGCTCAACTTGTTTTACAACGGAATGGCCTTGTTTGTCAAAGTTTGTGTTTCAGAGTTATAGTTTATAGTTTAGTTGAGAGAGGGTTGTAATTACAATTAAGTAGCCTCTTCATATGTAGTGACCTTCTCAGCCTTGGTGAGGTGAATTTACATTAAAAAAGAGTATGTAGATATAGTTTACACATTGACTAATTGAAAATTAAAATTTTTTAATAATAATTATATTTATATTATAGTTAGTTAATCAGTTAGTTAAGTTACACAAAGC